TGAAGCTCAACAAGCAAAAGAAATCCGCCGAAGGTGATATCTTTGCCACCAAGAAGGAACGTTTCGTACCCAACGAACAACGCAAGAAGGACCAAAAGGAAGTCGATACCGCTGTCCTCAAGGCTATCAAGGCTCATGCCGATGGTAAATTTGTCGCCAAATACTTGAAGAGCATGTTTGCTTTGCACTCATCTCAATATCCTCACCGCATGAGATTCTAAATGTTTTAGATTTAGAATGTCGTCGCCGTTATGTGTGGTGGAGAGAAGGAGGTATTTCTTCGGATGCGAAAGAAGGAAAAAAAGTTGATTCTTTTTTTATTGTAATTTTACCAAGTAAAAAAATAAAATGGACAAGAAAATCTATTTTGTAAAATGAAGAGAAATTTTACAAAAACTACAAAAAAAAATTGCAAATTTTGTTGGCTTGTATTATTTTTTACTGTTTGGTGGGGGTGGATTTCAGAAAATAATTTTCAGATGATCTTTGAGAATTATTAGTTTCGGGATTATTTGAAAACACTTTCAAAGGTCTTCTTCAACCTAAAGACCTCTCTCAAAAGGTGTACTATAGACAGGAAAAAAATATATAAAAGTAAAACCTTTCCAAAAGGTCTTCAGAAGAAACAAAGGTCTTGTACAAATAGAATAATAGGTCTTCTATAGACCGAAGACATTTTCAACAGGCCTTCTACAGAAGAAGGGCCATCTATAAAAATAAGACCTTTCCATACTGTCTTATATAGAGAGAAGATCTTTCCGATAGGTCTTCTATAGACCAAAACCCTACCAAAAGGTCTTCTATAGACCGAAGACTTTTTCAATCAGGCCTTCTACAGACAGAAGGTATTACCAACAGTTTTTCCATAGACGAACAACCTTTTTAAAAGGCTTTCTTAAGAAGAAGGCATTAGCAAAATATCTATAAATAGAAGAATTTTTTTTCCAAAATGCCTTCTAGAGAAAGAATACCCTTCCAAAAGGTTTTCTGTGAGCAAAACACATTTCTAAAATGTATTCTAGAGACAGAAAACCTTTACAAAAGATGTATATAAAGGCATTGGAATCCGGTAGAAAGGACTTCTGTAGACAGAATAACTCTTCAAAGGGTCTTCTATAGGCAAAGATCCTTCCAAAAATGACTTCTATACCCAGAAGAGCTTTCTAAAATGTGGTCTATAGACCGAATATCTTTCCAACAAGCCTTCTGTACACAGGAGAACTTTCTAAAGGTCATCTATAGACCGAAGACCTTTCTAACAGACCTTTTTTGCACAGAAGAGATTTCTAAAATGTCGTCTATAGACCGAAAAGCTTTATAAAATCTCGTCTATATTCCGAAGACCTTTCTAAAATGTCGTCTATAGACCGAAAAGCTTTATAAAATCTCGTCTATATTCCGAAGACCTTTCTAAAATGTCGTCTATAGACCGAAGACCCTTACAGCATTGCAAAGGGTCCTCAATAGGATACACCCATTCAAATCATGCTCTAAATTTTTACCCAAATCCAAATTTAATTCCAACAAAACGTCCTGCATACCCCGATCCTACACCCCCACAATGATTCCAAATTCAAATTTCAGGATTTCCACTCTATTGGTTCACCAACAATTCAAATTGTACCAAATTTAGTACACCGCAGTACGAATTTCCAAAACCTTCTACTTGACACAAACCTACACCCCCACAATGAACCTGACTCCAAATTTCAGGATTTCAACTCTATTGCTTCACCCACCATTTAAATTGTACCAAATTTAGTACACATTAGTACAAATTTCGAAAACAGTCATTCTAAATCCATGTTTCAGGATTCCAACTCTATCGGTTCATCCACAATACAAATTGTACTAAATTTAGTACACCGTAGTACGAATTTCCAAAACCTTCTACATAACACAAACCTACACCCCCCTCTCAATAATAAATCCAAGTTTCAGAATTCCAACTCAATAGGTTCACCCACAGTTCAAATTGTACCAAATTTAGTACACAGTAGTACGAATTTCCAAAACTTCCTACTTAACCCAAACCGACACCCTTGCTTAAAACACAATTTAAATTGTACCAAACTTTAGTACACAGTAGTACAAATTTCCAAAACTTCCTACATATCTCAATCTCACACCCCAACAGTGATCCTAACTTCAAATTTCAGGATTACTGCTCCATCGGTCCACTAAAAATTTAGTACCATTAGTATCCATAAGTATTAATTTCTTGAACTGTATCCTGACCTCAATTCTACACCCTAACAGTGATCCTGACCCTAAATTTCAGTGTTCCAGCTCTATCGGTTCAGCCAAATACAAATCAGCAAAAAATTTCCAAAACTACGTACATATCCCAATCCTACATTCTGACGATAATGTTAATTTCAAATTTCAGGATACCAGCTCGATTTGTACCTCCAAAATAAATTTGCACCAAATATAGTGACATATAGTACTTTTCGTACACATGAGCATACGCTTTCAAAACCATCTCCTTAAATGCACCCTACTTCCCAACCGTAATTCGCATTCCAAATTTTTAAGATTTTTAGCTCTATACATTCACATGCTACGAAATTGTACCAAATTTAGTACATTTTAGTTCGAATTTCCAAAAAAAAAAACCTTTGTTACATCTATTCTATACTCCATCAGTGAACCTCATTTAAAATTTAAGAGTTCTAGCTCTACCGGTTCGCAAAATACAAATGGTACTTTTCGTACCGTTCTAGTACGAATTTTCAATTTCTGTCACATTTGGATTAAGAGTGACCCTCACCCAAAATCTCATGATTCTAGCTTCAGCCCTTTCGTCTGGGCGTTGATGAATCGTTAAATCAGTCAGTCAATCACTTTACTCTTTTATTAGTATAGATACACGCCTTCTGTTGGCCCTTCAAAAAATATTCTTTCTAAACGTCGTCTTCTGTTGGTCCTTAAAAAAATAGTCTTTAGAAATCCACGCCTTTGGTTTGTCCTTAAAAAATATTCTTCGGTTTGTCTTTAAAAAATATTTTTTTTTTAAATCCACGCCCTCTGGTGGGCCTTAAAATATAATCTTAAAAAATCCATGGCTTCTGCTGGTTCTTAAAAAAATATTCTTTAAAAAGGGATTCTTTTGGCCCTTTAAAAAATTCCGAAGATCTTTCAAAAGTTCTTCTAAGCGCAGAAAATCATTCCAAAAGATCTTCAATAGAAGACATCCCTTCAGCTCGTCTGTAAAGACTTTCATTCGCTCTGTAATAAAGACTCCCTTCAGCTCGATTCTCCCTCTTCATCGCCTTTTTTTCTTGTCTCTAAAATAAAACTCCATTCCTTTTTGTTATGATTTTTTATTATTTGTTACAATAGCAACAACATCGATGGGGATAATAAAACTATTGGTCTGTTCCCGTACTGCAAGAATCTACTATTTTTTACACCGATAACACTTTTTTCCTTTATGATATCGAAGAAATTAGTAAAATCGAGTAGATTCTTGCAGTACGGGAACAGACCATATATTGCACAAAAAAAGTTAGACTATATCATAAAAAAATACTTTAAACTTAACATAGCCAATGTGAAAAAAATACATAGATATACATATGTATATATATGGTACAATATCGATTAGAAAATAAACAACCAATATCAAAATTCGTTAATCTACAAATACAATAATCGGTAATAGGATTCTGAGAAATTAAAAAAATATATGACTAAATTCGAATGTGGGATATGGGTACTGATTTAAATTAGCTAAGTTTACTTGCGGTAATTCTATGTTTGAATGTGAGAGGGTTGAAGGGTTTACTTCCCTTTCCCTCCCAAATAATACCTTCATTGAGTTAAGGTAAAATATTTCACCATAGCAAGAAGGTAGTATGAACAGTACAGTATATGTATGTATATTAGTTTGTAGTCTATTTAATATCTTCACTATATTTCAAAAATCAATTTCTTGTTGGTGGAGATTTGTAGCATTCAGTCGGTTTTATTCCAAACTCAAGGCATATTTGAATTTCCTGCGTCCCTGAATATACCACATAGTTTCATGATAGGATCTTGGCAATACCTCGGGCACCTGTTCCGATGCCGAATATGTATAATAGAAAACATTTGAGGTCAATTGATCGCCCGTTACCGAATCAATAATATCCGCCACAGTCATTATTTGCAAATAATTCACTTCGGTATAGACAACATAGGCGTTCATTTTAATGAAAGAATTTACACTGACGGGCTTTTCAAAACTAATATCACAAATGTGTTCAATTTTTGGTTTGGCGGTTTTACAATAGATATTGGCGCATACCCAACTGATTTCCAAGGCGTTGCGCATCAAGAAACCACCGAAAACCTTATTGTGGGCATTACGATTTTCCGGAAATGAGGCAAATGTATTTGTGACAAACGACTCGGACATCCAGCGGCAATTTGGTGGCAGGACACGTAAATTTAACTCCATCGTAGTTTGTGGTGTTGTCCTCTTGAATAGTTCATACATCAGCGATTGTTCATAGTCATTGGGTTCCACTTTAAAAATCGAAGAGGCCTGCAGTAATTGCCTTCGCTGTTTACGCATATTCCCACCATCCATTATCGCCTTTTCTTCTTCGGTGGCCGGTTTAATGGGATTAACTGGAGCCGGTCCAGTATTCGTGGCATTGCGGGCAACCATCAAGAACAAAGCCCTGGTGATTTTATGCCACACACCATTTTCCATTTGTTCCAGCCACACAACAATTTCCATGGAACTTTTACCCACCCATGAGACATGACCGGAAAGGCGTATATCTTCAGTTGCCTTGGTTCGGAAATTGGTAAATGTAATCTTGTCCACCAATATTGTGACAAAGGTATATGGCAGTGGTACACCCTCGGGAAGATTATTCAATTTAACATGTTGATGACATACCCAAACGGCAAACATATCCATATCTTCCATTAAACGGCCTAGGCGGACATGACCCAAGAATGCAACATAGCGATCTTGTAGAGCCTTGTCTGTGGACAGTGGTAAAATGGCGGAGGTGAAGGAATCTTGCATAGAACGTGGTTCGAGATCCGATGCTTTTGGTTCATATTTCAATAAATGATCACGATGTTTTGGTATCGGTGTATAGCCATGCTCTAAACCTAATCGTTCCATGATTTTATCTTTGACTGGAAAAAAAGAAAAACAACAACAACAAATTATTAAAATTTAAAATTGGGGTCCAGTAAGGAAATTAAAATGAAGGAAGTAAAGAAGTCGATAGGTTCGGCCAGGCTATTCAAATTATCTTAAACATGTCTATTAAAAATACGTAAAATAAATCGGGATATTTAAAGTATTCCCATCAGCATGTAGGAGAGAGACTAGCTTGGGCGTGGATTTTTTAAAAAATATTTTTCGACACCTATTATAGGTGTAGTATTTTTTAAAAATTATTATTGGACGGATCCTATAAATGGGCGGTATAAAATATGGAGCTAAATTAAACGTTTTCAGCGATCCATTTGACGCCCCGACAGCCCGATCATTTAATTGCAGAAGACCTCCATCTCTTCTATAAGAATACCTCCATCTCTTCAATAAGAAGACCTACAGCTCTTCTATAAGAAGAACTTCGGAAAAAAATTCAAAAAAAATCCTTTATATTTGGTCTACGTAAATATTTTTTTAACCACCTTGAACCCAAAATTACAGAGAGACCTTTATATGGGAACAATGTGAAAACATTGAACATTTTCTTCTAAGATGTTTTCGGGCCTCCAAGAACTCGGAATGCTGGGAGTTCTACCATAAAATGTTTGAAATTTTGTAACGCAATATTAAAAGGTAGGCGGACAGACAGACATGACTAAATCTTTATAGAATTTTATATGTTCATTCTGGGGTCACCGACATTGCATCTTATAGTGAAGGTCACAAACAAACTCTCTTCCTCGATGTTTGTCTATCAGCTGACTGGTCTGAAGAGCTCTATGATCTTTCCAAAATAAATAAACTCTATTTACCTACCCTCAGCCATTGTTCCAGCATAGGCAGGATCATTTTGACCATGTTTCAGACCAACATTACGCTTCGTCATGCTGAAAAAATGTTCGATACAATCAATTAATCACACAAACATTCACTTCCACCATGCTATTGACCTTAACATACCATATAGCTGCTGACGATGATGCTACTGCACCATTGCTAGAAGACAAAATTAGATTATTTCTAATTGGCAATGAGCCATATATACATGGCCGGATAACTGTTCCAGAGGTTTTTAGCAGATTTCTTAACATCTTGCTGCTGCTGCTACTGGTTCGATCTACCGATTTTTTGCAACTGGTGATGTTCTGTTTCTAAGACAAAGTCCAAAATGAACGTCCTCAAACTGTTTAACGTTCTTATCGTTTGAGTTGATGTCTGCGGATTATATTCACACTGTCTGTTAGTTTTGGTTTTTTTTTTGTTTTTAACTTTATCCGTGACGTAATTGTTGTTTTGGTTAATTTTTCTGGTCGTAAACAAAAAAGAGCGAGGCGAATAGGGTTGTCAGTTCGGGTATTAATGGGTGAAAAAATTTTGTGTTTGAAAGTGACCACATAATTTTTAATAATTGGTCATAATTGGTCTATATTTACAGAATCTGCCATCGAAATTATTTTTGATTTTCAATTATATTAATTAATTATATCAATTATAAATTTGAAAAGTTTATTATTTACAGTTTTAGTTTTTATCATTTTAAATCGGCAAAGTTAAGATTTAATTTATACACTATTATTTATTTAATTACAATTAAATAAACGAAAAATATTCCTAAATATATAGTTTTTTTTTGTAATCGCATTAGTTTTGCGACTAAAATATAAACAAATTCAACCGACATTTGTGCCATACTATTCTAAATATTTTTGAATCACCCTGTTAAAAGCAACAATTGTCAAGTACAACCATGTTCACCTTATCGCTTATTTTCGCAAAAAAGGTAAACTACACTATGTGTAAAAAGACAAATTTATTCTACATCGAATTTTATTTATTATTTATCGAATTTGAGTGTATACAGCAAAATTTCTATTTTGATCAAATTTCTGAATTTTTCCGAATAATATGAAATATTTATTTAATTGAAATGAAAATTTTTTTACGCGTTCGTCTAGAAGTAATTAATTTGTTATGGATTGAACAAACATTTCAGGTATAGGTTAGGGATGTACGGTTGTTAGTAACAATCGTCCACTCGTCCACATTGTGATCATCCTGGAAAGAGAACGCAAAAAGAAGAAAGAGTGGAAGAGAGAGGTGAAGATAGTAGGAGAAGGAGAGCCTAGAGATGGCTATTTTAGCCAATGCAGATTTTTGTCAAAGCCTAGGATCTGGTTGGGGTCTATTTTAGAAAAGAAGACTAGATTATCAATTTCATAACTTTGAAACTTGTTGCGTGGTGCTTTAATTAGAATTTTTTAATTTAACTAACCCGTCCGCGACCTCCCGACACTAGCAACCGGCACTTGAGAAATGAAGCGGAAATGCTGTGGTACCAAAAATTGCCGCTACTGTCAGGGTTGCATTAACACCGATTAGTATCGATGGTTATTAATCGGATATGCAACTCTGCGATAATTATAGGGGTCGCTAGGTCGTAGATAGAAAAAAATGATAAACAGCAGGGAAAAAAGAAAAGACCGAAAAGAGGGAAAATTCGGCGTCGTCCCCTGCAGTATAAAAGGACCCCAAAGAAAAAAATGCGCTCTCATTTGAACAGTGGTGCGATACGATAGTTTTTCGGAAAATAAAACAAACTCAAATATTAGTTTTTTAAAAAAGGCCTAAATCTGCCTTAATTGATTTTTATTTATGTTGTGGGCGTTAAAAACAGATTGTAAGTGTAAAGTCATTGTGTAGTGTGTGATTGTGTCGACTTATGTTGTTTTGTGCGTTTTTTATTTGTTTGCAGGGTACCGCCAATTAGCCAAAAATCTGAGGCTTCAACTGACCTCCCCAACAAGTATAAAACGGAGAGGTCAGTTTTTATTTTATCGGCTACAAAAAAACCGCAAACCAGCAACAGCGGCAACCACAGAAACCTCTTTGGCGAAAAATCACTGCCATTGCATCGGCCACACATAATCGCCGCTACAACAGCCACCAAATTGGCCCCAGCCACAATAGGCACGGCAACAACAGCAAGCGCCAAACTACCGGGTTCTGCCTAATCCCGAGGAAGACGTCGGCTGTAGGTGTGCTGAAAAGGAATAAAACGGAAAGGTTACCAATTATTATTATTTTGGATTAATCCAGGTAACGAAGATATTACTTACCAATTCCATATGTAAAACTGGCATCGCCACCATAAGAAAATTGAATAATCACCATAAGAAAATTAAATAATCTGAAAAGAAAGAAAAGAATAGAAATGTTATTTACAAAAAAATTAAAAATTATAAAAAGGCATAACCAAAACTAAAGAAAACTGAAAAATATGAAAATTTTAAAAATCGATTAAAACTAATAATATTACATAACAATACTATTTAAACTCTTAGGTTAAATCTAGGTTAAGTTGTGTTGTCCATAAGTGTTTGTTACTTAATGATTCTAAATATTTGTTTGTAAGAAGCATTAACTAGGTTTTTTTCTTGCGATATAATGATTCTAGGGTTGCCCCAATTTATGTAGTGTTTTTTGTTCATTGTGTGGACGAATTATTATGTCCAATAAAAACCTACTAAGCGAGCTCCTTTAGGCAGGTATAACCATTTTAATACTTGTGAGATAAGAGCCTATATTGGCATTATTTTTATCCGCATAAAAAAGGGTAAAAGTCCTAAAATTTAATGAATCCTAAAATTTATGAATTGTAGTTAATGTTTCATTCTTATCGTGTTTTATCTATTAAGGAAATTATGTCAATAAACTGTTTGTGATTTGTTTGTTAAAAATAATATGATGTTCTGATTGTTTTTGTGAGAGAGGAGAGTTAGGATATTGTAATGAGGTGAGTGTACATGGAATTCGGGGCCCTTGAAATGTTGTTATTTTTAATAGGATCTAAGGGTCAAGGTAGGGTGGGCAAGTGTGGGAGTAAAACCACTAATCTCCTTTGTTTCAGGTGTACCAGGTGTTTGTGTTGTATAGTTTTGTCTTTATTTATGTTAGTCGAAATAAAAATTTAATTGTTCGTCCTCTAGGACTATTGGTGTCTGGGATGGAACCGCCCTGATTATTGGCTCCTGAGCTAGCGGCCACAGATACACCATAGTACCGAAGTAGGTGGCACGTAACAATATGGCGCCCAAACGAAAGTCTAAAAAAATTTGTGCAATAACAACTTAGCACAGTACAATAGACCATAGGGTAAAATAGACGTAAGCGAAAATCGCATTTTCTTCCAATGACTATCTGATGTTGCAAACACAGCTTTAATTATTTTAAATTTGTGATAAATGTGCAATATTAGATTAGGTTTCTTAGAAAATTAGGATTTTCGTTCCATACTCAAGGGTCAGCTGCAATAGTCTTGTTCGTTCAGTGTAACAATGAATGTATTGTGTATTATGACCTGTTTTTTTTTTGTTTCAGTTTTAATTTATTTATTTTTTTTTATTTATTTATTTTAGTATAAGCCATAGACGTAGGGTTAGCATAGGGAAAAGTGCAATAGCTATTGAGAAGAAGTAATCTCAATGTGCATTGTGCGAAGTACTCATACACGAGATCTTTTTCATTAAAATTTTTATTGAAAACTGCCGTGTTGTTACCCTCAAGTATATGTGTTGTCATTTTTTTTTATATAATTTTTTTGGCTAAGCCATCAATTGGAAGTAACATAGGGGATATGTGCAATAGCGTTTGTGATGACGTGCTCACAAACTGCATTGTATGTAAATCTCTCCCAAGAGATCTCTTTTCTATTCATTATGGAAAACTGCCTTGGTGTTAGCTTCTAAATGTTTGTCTGTGTCAGAAAATTAACTAAAGTCTTGTCTACCAGTACACCGAAACAACCTTTAATAGGACACTTTTAATATAGAATATTTGATTTCATAATGTCGGAAAAAAAAAAATCCACACACTCAACCCAATTGCAATTGAAATATATACCTAACTTCCTCTCATATGTGTAATTGTTTAAAAACCACTAAAAACTATTAATAATTTAATGTTTGTACGTCTTTTTTTTATGTCAAGTAATATTTGTTTTTTTTTTTTTATTTATTTTATTTATTTTATTAAATTCTTATGTTTATCATTTAATTTATATTTATTTACTCTTATTATTTATTTTATGTTTTCTAACTTATTACTAACTTCTATGTTTTAGTTAAATAATCTATTTTCTTGTTTCATAATTTGTTTTTTTTGTATCAACATATCTTCATAAATATCTAAAATCCGGAACTATAATAACCCCACCGAAAAATCCTCAACAATTATTTAAAAATCAAATTAAATTTTTTTTAAATAAAATTCATTGAATGAAATATTTTTTCAATTTCTAATGAGCGATTATACGGCAGGGAAAAGAAGAAGTAAACGAAATAGAACGTTAGCTTTTGACACCAGCAGGATATCAGTTTTATCACCTAGACCAACTCAAAAGAAGAAAAAAGTTGTCTGTAGAATGGAACAGTCCAATATGGATAGGGATGCGACCATCAGGGATCTGTCTGGATCCATTATTAACCCTCAGCCCAGCACCAGTGCTACTGCTAGATTGCAATCCAATGTACCTAATGCCCCTATACCAGGTAACCAACCAAGCGAGGTAAATAATCAAATAAGAAATATGGTACTCGAAAGTGTGAATGATGCTCGAGCCCACTTGAGGTCATGGGTTGAAGAAAGTGTGGCGAAGGAGATGGATAAAGTGTATTCCGTAATAGACCGTCTGAATGATAATGTCAATAGGTTATCTATAAATTTGGGAAATCATCCTACAGCACCGCCTACTCGGCCAAACCCCCCTAGTAACCACGCATCCGAAATCCCCACTCAACATAGGGACCATAATGCGTATAATGGGAATCACAGAAATACCGTAACACCTTCCGTCTTTAGTTCAGGCAGCCAAAGTATAAAAGTGGAACGTTTTGGGTTGAATTTTTCAGGAAAACCAAATAGTTTATCGGTGGAAGACTTCATATACCGATTGGAATACTTCCAACAACATTATAGATTAGCATGGGAAGACATTCTGAATGAGTTCCACATTCTCCTATCTGGTCCAGCATACGAATGGTTCTGGCTCCAA